CCCCCCCCCCCCCTTCACCAGAATTTTATCTGTGATAGAATTCGTTAAGCGGATACCACTAGTGGATTCATTGCTGTTTTTCGAGAAGCCGGGAAAGCTTTATTAAGATCACCGTACTTTTAAATGCATATCGTGAGATCTGTATTAAGTTCACGGTCGTGGTCCCTCCTGTGTTGCCATTAGCAGTCGAGTGTATACAGGCTGACGTTGTGTGTAATTGCGATTGAGTAGCAACAGTGCGAGGTGGTGGGTAATGTCTCTCTCACAAGTAGCAAGTCAACTGTTCCATGTGAACCATCCATCGAAGTGGGAGTTTCTGCATGTTGGGAATGAATGTTCACATCACATCCGGAGGTCACGAATGTGGGGATAGTTGCTATCTACTTCATCTATGAAAAGGTACCCCAACATAGAATCGAGTCAACATGTCTTATATACTAGTGATTTGGAATTGTATTTTTGTAGTGGTAGACACACTACAATCTTTTTCATCAATCAACTTCTCTCTCACATTTCCGAATTCGAATGCAGTTAGAAATGTTCCTTAAATTTTCACATTCTGTTAGAAAGGTCCCTTAAAAAAAAACTTAAAATTTTGTTCGTAGCAGTGATGCATCTGAGAAAGACTGTGATGGGATTGATACAACTTGTTACTGCCAGACGTCCGAGAGGTCAGTTTCAGAACCCTGGACACCTTTGAAAGTTTGCAACAGATTCTCTCTCAAAGATTCTCTCAACAACAACAACAGCAGCTCTGATAACGAAGACGATGAAGTGATAGACACGAGCAATGAAAACGAAGACGAAAACGGTATGTTTTTGTTTTAAGTAGAATTTCGAGGCAGTGTTTTTAACACAAACAATAATTTCTAAGCAAAAATAAATAAAAAATCAGCAAATATATAACAAGTAATATTAAAAAAAAAAAAAATTCAAAGTCAATTCTCACTTTGGTTGAAAAATAAAAAAAATTATTTTAGTTACTTTTTATTAAATAATTAAATTTTTCCCCCATATAAAATTGAAATTAATTCATTAAATTTCATGAATGCATTAATATTTGAAAAAACTTTCTTTACATCAATTGTCATCCACTACAAGTTTAAAATAAATGTATTTGAACTTGAGTGGATAAATAAAAAGTATTTTGTGAACGGTTGAACATTTGAGCAAGGTATATAGATAGAGTGTGAACTAATTGTAGGAATTGAATCAGAGTGTACAAAACAGATGAATGTATTAGTAAAGGAGAACAAACTGTAGCTAACAGAATTGCAGTGTATGAGCAGTGAAATAAATCTTGAGTTTACTTTCTAATAAGCCACATTTTATTATCTTTCTAAATATAATAGGCGTCACTAGGCGATGAGTTTTCCTCACTTTTCTCCTCATCGTTACTCTGTGGAAAAAGCAAGATTTTCCGAAATCATAAAAACAAAGAGAGGAAAAGTGTAAGAAGTGGGGAAATCGCGTAACCTTAAAACGCCTACTCCACTTACAAAGAGTATAGAGAATGTATATTCTATGTTAATGCTGCTTACCAACATTTTCTAGCTCTACCCCCCCCCCCANAAAAAAAAAAAAACAGAAAAACCTGAAAAATCTATTTTACCTGAAAAAGGCAACATTAACGACACGTATTTAATAAATTCTGAGGACGATAAAATTTAACGCAATGCCAGATTTTATAATCAAGTTATATATATCTTATTATATATAAGTTATATATATATTATATAT